CCTATAAATAGGGAGATTTACCTCATTTTGGGGACACGTTCATTTATTGCAAACACTGAATTCTCTTACATCGGAGAAAACACATGATCTCAGAATCCGAGAAGATCTCATTTTACCTTTTCCGCACCTTTTTACATTCTTCGACCAGTTCTAACTTGATCATCGGAGGCGGAGCTCCAACCACCCGGAGTCTTAGTTGTTTTGCAGGTACAGGCGCCCAAAATCCAGACTTCGTGAAGTAACTCTCCCGAGGGACACAGAAAATCCCGAAAATTTTGTCGCCGTCTGTGGGGAGAGTACCTCTACAATGGTTTCACAACAGTCTGTACCGCCTCCTAATTAGAAATGGCCTACGGCCGAAGTTGAGATCTATTCGAACCATGACAATGATGACGACTTTGAAGTCGAAAAGTATGTGGCCGCTGATAGGTCACTCAGAACCAGATGCACCCATCCCAAAGAAGGAAGGGAACGAGGCGATGATCAAGATGGTCCAAGTAAATCATCCGGACAGCCGTCTGGACAACACCAGGCGGCGGAAGGCACAACCCAATCACTCGAGACGCACCCTACAAATTCCTTTCCTTTAAAATACCTATTTTGCCCTTTTAAAATACGAAATAAGAAAATCTAAGACATAACCGCCACCGTGAAAATGGCTAAGGCTTAAATCAAAGACACACACAGCGGAAGACTATATTTAAAACCATTTAAAACAAGTCAACTTAAAAAGTCAAACCCAACGAAAGTAAAGTCAAACAAAATCAAACAAAGTCAACCTACAATTTGGAACCATTGTAGGCCCTTAAAACCAAACAATACTGAAAACCTTTACGTTAGTCTCATGAGCATAATAAAATAAATAATAGTTAAAGCAAATAAAACACATCATATTCCTATGAGAACTAGGCATGAATAGCTCTTCACTCAAGCCCATCATGAAAATGCTTCATCACCTGAAAAACTTCTCTCTACTTGTCCCCACTACTCGCCATTAAAAATGGGTCGTTGTAGGGCCAAGGTAAAGACAAGGACAAACAAACATACAACACACAATCAGCAATGCTGAGTACATAAGCGTAATAAAAACACACTAACATGCTTTCATCCTATCATCACACAACTCACCTTGTTGCACCTGTTTACATGCATACCACATACCAAACGACCAACCAGTAAATAAATGAATTGCTTATTTAATTTGATTACACATCGAACGGGTTTCCCACCAAAAATCCATGCCCCAAATAAATAGAGGTAAACTACACCTGAGCTAACTGGGTAGGCAAATGTCACATGAAATGACTGGACGTCTTGCGCATAAAATAAATAAAAAGGAAAATACAGCGTCTTGTACTCCCAGTAGAAGTCATGGTTAAATATTAAACCTCATAACTCCCCCCATATGTTCATACTCGAGGTATATACGTTCCAAGAGTTTTGGTGCGTAATCTCTTTCACTTTACGTTGTTAACATATTATTGTACTTGGTGATGAATCTCAAACCATAACACAACAAACATTATACTTCATTCAAGCAATTAAACATACCAATTTAATTCTTGAATAATTAGTGACCACATAAATTTAATTGTTGAACCCGTTTTATTCTACCTAGGTGTCAAAGACACCTTAAACGCATAGTGCGCCGCAAAACCTATCCCTCGGTGTTAGAAGCACCTTAAGTTCATAGGCACCACAATATAATTTATTCCCGTGTACTAAGACAATTGATAGCTCAATTCCCATGCTTAAAGCATCAATAAAAATTATATGAACCATAATAAAATTCCCTTTCCATATTCTAAACCAAATTAAACATTTAGTTTAATTAAACATGCTCTCAATCATGTCAATAATAGAAGTGTGGTTCATAATCAACATGCCAACATAATTAATTCCAATCACCAATCCATCATAAATAATTCATACATCACAAACCATTTACCAACATCAATCCAATCACAAATTCCAACCAACACCTATCATAATACTACTTGGAATTAATTAAACAAAGCCTAGCATGCTTCTACTTATTCAAATAATTACCAAGTACGCGAATACCTACGCTTGTTGAAGGTGAAGTTTAGAAATAGAACGATTCCTTATACCTTGAATATGATCTCTAAATCGCCACGACTAAATAAAAATCACTCACTTGGAAGTCTCCTACAAACCAAAATTACAAAGAGGCATTAATACCTACTCTACACAAATTTCCAGCAATATGTACACTCTTTAAATCACTAATAACCCTCTAAAAAAGGCTGAAATTTAATTAAATACCCTTAATTTTATTCTCAATTAATGGGTAATTAAAAATCCGTTCAAAAAACATAATTATAGCTTTTTTTTAAAATTTAAAGCTTTATTAAACCATCTAAAATTGCTGTAATTGTGTTTTAAAACACTTATTTCAATAATTCAAATCATCCATAAACAATTTCCATCAATATACATAAACTTAGAAACCTAGGGTTTATAATTTGGGGCTTTTTAATTCCAAACCAAATATGAAAATTTATATACAAAATACTTATCATCAAACATCATAAAATCGTCACAAAACCCAAAAACAATAACTAAATTAAGGGTAGATTTAATTAAATATCAAAAAGAATAATTTTTTTTTGTTCAAACACCGGCGAACAGCACCACCACGGTTTCCGGCGAGTGGTGGTGGTGGTGGCTGATAACTTGTTATTTTGTACAATTTTAGAGTGATTTTGAGAATTATAATTGTGAGAAATCAATGCTTTTTATGCATTTTTTGTGTATCATATGCTTCACGGGTTTGCTAGTGTTTTGGTGCATATTTAGGTACATATGGAAGAATGAAAGAAGCAAGGAAAAGTGTCCAAGAGTGAAATAAGAGCATTTGGAAGGATTTTTTCCTTAAGGTCAAGTTAAAATGACCATAACTTTTTTCTACTCAAGTTTTTGAAGTAATTCAAATTGGAGATTAAAATTCATCTCAAGAGCTTTCCAACGACTACTTACATGCCTTATTCCAATGAGTAATGAAGAAGTTATGACCTTCCGAAACGAAGCTGTTTCGCCAGAAAAAGTTGCACGTCCGTGCCGATTGATGCACGTCCGTGCAAGATCAGGCAGTAGCTACTGTTCTCATTTTAACAGGTGTGCACGTTCGTGCAACCTTTGGCACGTCAGTGCCGACCTGTAGACGGACCGATTCTTGGTTTCTCCGTCCTTTTACTTGGGGGTTATATAATATCCCTTCAGCTTCATTTGTAGGGGGGGATCTTCTTAGTTTAGTTTTAGCTTAGGTTAGGGTTTTTAGAGAGAGAAACTCTCATTTTCTAGAGAGAGAAAGTGAGAAAAGCTTGTTGAAAGCTTGGAATATGAAGAATTGAAGGAAGGAAACTTGAAGATTTGGATACTCCTTGCAATATCAATGAGAATTTCTTACTCTCTCTCTCCTATTTTGTTATTCTATTTACTTATTTTTGTACCTTTTCATCCTTAATTACTTGTTTATGTTAGATTAGTGTTTGATTTTATGTTCTTAGTTATTAATTCCTTTAGTTTTGCAATTTATTATGATTTGTGAGTAGTTCTTTTACTTGGGATGGTTGAAACCATTGATGAATTCACAAATACTTGGTTGTATGTGTTGATTTAGCTAATGTGGGATGTTCATTAGTTGAGCTTAAGTGGTTTCATTGTTAGTTCTTGTAAGTGGCCATTGCTAGAACTATTTATCTAAGCTTTCTCAACGAAGGATCGAGAGATGAACTTGAGTTGGCTCCCTTATGCTTAATTGACTTAAAATGCCATGAGAATAGGAATTTCTAGTCAAGGGAATGTTTATGTCATCGTGATTATGCTTTACCACTTGTTTTATGCTTTGTAACCACGAGAGTAGGTTATATTCATGACTCAAGTAATCCCTCTAGCTTGAGAGAGTAGTTGGGTGCCTTAGATGACTTCCCCTAATTTATCCCCAAATTGCTATGTCTTGTATGCTAAATTGTAGTTTGTGAATGACTTAATTGGTGGATACCTTCCCAAGATCCTTGTTATTATTGTTTGTAGTTTTTCTTCATAACTCATAACCCAAAAATACTTGACTTAGCTTATCACAAATCTATATTTGTTAGTGCTCCCCTTAGTCCTTGTGGGATCGACCCTTACTTTCCCTTTCTACCCATTAGAGAGACCAAATTAGGTTTTTATCTTTGGTAGGCTCAACGACGGCCTATAAGTGGCCGCCGGTCGATGGGCAGCAGTGTTGGTGGCAGGCATGTGTGGTGGTGTGTGTGGGTGGTGATTGAAACAAAAATAAAATAAAGGGGAAGGGGAAAAATTAAGAGAAAAAGAGAGAAAATAAGAGGAGAGAGAAAGAGAGTTACTTTTGGGTATTCTCCACCTTGGGCAAAGTTTTATTTGCCCATGTGATGGGTATTTATACTCTCTTTTCTAAAACCCTCCGGGACTTAAATTTCTTTTTTACCCTTAATGATCTATTTCCTAGTCAAACTAATATTTCGACTTTCTTTAAAAACTCATTGACTTTAACATTTCCTTTTATAAAAAAATATGCCCCTATATTTACAAATTATGAAATAAAATATTTTCAATATTTTTAAATAATTAAAATTAAATCTTCAATCAAAATAATTCTTTTTAAATTAATGAAACACCATAAATAATTCATTTTGAATTATTTAAATACTTTAAGAAATACTTATTTAAATTAACATACGTATAAAAATACGGGGTATTACAGTCTACCCCCCTTAAAAGAAGTTTCGTCCCGAGACTTGGTTAACAAAATTCAAACTTTTCCTCACTTTGTATAATATTGTTGTACTCTTTTGTCATACTTTTGCCATTGATGTATCTTTGAAATCAAAATTACTCAAAATAACCGTTTAAAATGTGCAAAAAACACAAAAATAACTAAAAATACAGGGAAAAAGCATGAAATTCTACTGCATTCTACCCCCCTTAAAGAAAACGAGTTACGTCCCCGTAACTCACCATACCTTAAACAACTCGGGATATTTATTTTTCATCTCATCCTCAGCTTCCCAAGTTGCTTCTTCATACTCTTGGTTAGACCATAGCACTTTAACAATCTTAACTTCCTTATTGCGTGTACTACGCACTTTACTGTCAAGGATCTTGACAGGTCTTTCCTCATAAGTTAAACTTTGATCTAACTTCTTGGTTTCAGGTTGTAGCACATGTGACTTATCAAGGATATACCTTCTTAACTAAGATACATGAAATACATCATGCACTTTACTTAGCTCCATAGGTAAGGCCAACCTATAAGCCACTTTGTCTATCCTTTGCAATACTTCATATGGACTAATATACTTTGGGCTAAGCTTTCCTTTCTTTCCAAATCTCATTACACCTTTCATTGGTGACACCTTTAACAATACTTTGTCACCGACCGCAAATTCCTCCTCCCTACGCTTTAAGTCCGCGTAGCATTTTTGGAGATCTTGCGCCGCTTGAATCTCCCTTACCTTCTTAACTGTATTCTCGATCATTTGAGGCCCTAAAATCATTGTTTCACTTATGTCGTTCCAACAAATTGGACTACGACACTTCCTTCCATATAATGCCTCAAATGGAGTCATGCCAATGCTTGCATGGTAGCTATTATTATAGGAAAATTCAATTAAGTCTCAGCTATCTTCCCATCCTCCTTGGAAATCTATAACACAAGCCCTCAACATGTCTTCTAAGGTTTGAATGGTTCTCTCAATTTGCCCATCTGCGGCAAGGTGAAATGTTGTACTCATTTTGAGTGTTGTACCAAAGTTTTCCTACACACTCTTCCAGAACCTTGAAAGAAACCTAGAATCTCTGTCAGACACAATATCTTTTGGAAATCCATGTAATCTCACCACATTTTTTATGTAAGCTTTTTCAAGTTGTTCCATCTCCCAGGTCTCCTTCATTTGTATAAACACTGCAGATTTTGTAAGTTTATCCACTACTACCCAAATGGTGTCATTTCCACTCTTTGACTTTGGGAGGCAAGTCACAAAGTCCATTGAAATACAATCCCATTTCCATCCAGGGCTGTCCAATGATTGCATAGTTCCTTATCTCTTCAAATATTATTGGAAACTCCTTAAGTGCACATAGGCACCGCACTATAATTTATTCTTGTGTACTAAGACACTTGATAGCTCAATTTCCATGCTTAAAGCATCAATAAAAATTATATGAACCATAATAAAATTCCCTTTTCATATTTCAAACCAAATTAAACATTTAGTTTAATTAAACATGCTCTCAATCATGTCAATAATAGAAGTGTGGTTCATAATCAACATGCCAACATAATTAATTCCAATCACCAATTCATTATAAATAATCCATACATCACAAACCATTTACTAACATTAATCCAATCACAAATTCCAACCAACACATATCGTGATACTACTTGTAATTAATTAAACAAAGCCTAGCATGCTTCTACATATTCAAATAATTACCAAGTACGCGAACGTACCTTAAATATGATCTCAAAGTCGCCACAACTAAATAAAATCACTCACTTGGAAGTCTCCTACAAACCAAAATTACAAATTAAAGAGGCATTAACACCTACTCCACACAAATTTCCAGCAATATATACACTCTTTAAATCACTCATAACCCTCTAAAACAAGCTGAACATTAATTTAAAACCCTTACTTTTATTCCCAATTAATGGGTAATTAAAAATCCTTTCAAGAAACATAATTATAGCTTATATATAAAAATTCCAGCTTTATTAAACCATCTAAAATTGTTGTAATTGTGTTTTAAACCACTTATTTCAATAATTCAAATCATCCATAAACAATTTCCATCAATATACATAAACTTAGAAACCTAGGGTTTATAATTTAGGGCTTTTTTAATTCAAAACCAAATCTGAAAATTTATATACAAAATACTTATCATCAAACATCATAAAATCATCACAAAACCTAAAAACAATAATTAGATTAAGGGTAGATTTAACTAAAAATAAAAAAGAATAATTTTTTTTTTCGAACACCGGTGCACAGCACCACCACGGCAGGCTTCTGCCGCGCCTGCCTGGTGGCTGCTGCTGCCGGCGAGTGGTGGTGGTGGCCGCCAGCCGGTGGGCAGCAGTGGTGGTGGTCTAGTGTGTGGTGGTGTGTGTGGGTGGTGATTGAAATAAAAATAAAATAAAGGGGAAGGGGAAAAATTAAGAGAGAGAGAGAGAGAGAGAGAGAGAGAGAGAGAGAGAGAGAGAGAGAGAGAGAGAATGTTACCTTTGGGTATTCTCCACCTTGGACAAATTTTAATTTTCCCATGTGATAATAATACTCTCTTTTCTAAAACCCTCCTGGACTTAAATTCTCTTTTTACTCTTAATGATCCCTTTCCTAGTCAAACTAGTATTTAGACTTTCTTTAAAAACTCATTGACTTTAAAATTTCCTTTTATAAATTGCCCCAATATTTCCAAATCATGAAATAAAATATTTTCAAGATTGTTAGATAATTAAAAATAATTTTTTAATTAAAATAATTCTTTTTAAATAAATGAAACACCATAAATAATTCATTTCGAATTATTTAAATACTTTAAGAAATACTTATTTAAATTATAATACGTATAAAAATATGGGGTATTACAGTACTTATAATTGTACCACCAACCCTGAAGACCACCTCATGGCCTACACCAATCTCATGTACTTGCAGGGGTTGGATGACGCCACCTGGTGCCAATGCTTCCCGGCTACATTGAAGGGCATCGCCCAACAATGATTGGGCAATTTTCCAGGCGACTGCGTCAATAGCTTCAAGACGCTTGTGTTCTTGTTTGCTTCTAACTTCTCTATAAATATCTCTGCCAAGAAAACAAGTCTTGACTTGGGTGCAGTGCAGCAGGGGGATTAAACAAGGCTTCGGTCATACGTCAGGCGGTTCAATCTGGTGAGAATCCAGATTCAAGTTATGTCTGACGATGTGGCTTATACAGACTTGTTTAAGGGTTTGAAGGAAGGATCGACTTTTAAGTTTGACCTCGTAAGAAAGAAGGTTGCCATCCTCCAGGAAGCGTTGATGGAGGCGAAAACTTGTATACAGGCAACCGAGCTCTACTCCATCAGCAAGCAGTCGGATTCCAAGAAGTATGACAAAAAAAAGAGTCGACAAGCTCTGCCGGCTAAGAAAGCTGAAGAGAGTAAGAAGAGAAAAGAGATTTGGGCGGTTGACGACTCTGATCAGCCGTCCCAGAAGAAAAAGAAAGAGTTTAAACCGTACGTCCCAAAGTACGAGTTTAACAAAGACTGCTACTCCTTCCTCATGGAGATAAAGGACCAGGTGACCATGAGAAGCCCGCTGCTATGAAAGGTTCCGCCAAAAATCAGAACAAAAACAAATACTGTCACTTCCATGGGGATATTGGCCACGACACCAACGACTGCTATAGTCTCAAGCGGCTATTGGACCGTCTGGCTGATAAGGGGGTGTTGAATCCTTACATCCTAAAGTCTAAGGTGACCCTGAAGATAAACCCCGGGTAATCGTCCAAAAAGGATGCCCAACCTGCTAATAGTTCGGACACTAACAAAGAGCCGATCTACACAATAGCAGGCGGCTTTGCAGGAGGGGGCCCAACCATCAGGGGCACCAAGGACCATGTTAGACGGCTAAATGTCAGTTGATTTGATGAGGGTCAGGCGTCTACTGATACCTTCCCTGAGGTCATCATCACTGAAAAGGACAGGGGCAAGGTCCGCTGACCACATGATGACCCCATTGTCATTGAGTGCAAAGTGGCCAACCAGAAGGTCGGCCGGATCCTCATTGACACCAGAAGCTTGTCTGACATCATTAGCTACAAGTGCTTGTCAAAGCTGAAGTACAAGCCCAGCAGCATGCACATAGTGTCTCACCCCTTGGTTGGTTTTGGGGGGTGGGGTTGTGCACCCAGTCGGACGGATTGATCTACCCATCCGGCTGGGGGAGAAAGGAGAGGGACGCCTTATGGTTGTCCGGTTCTTGGTCGTAGAGGAGATGACCGCCTATAATACTGATATTGGGTCGTCCAACTCTGAACGAATCTAAGGCTATCATTATTCCATCCCTCATGCTGCTGAAATTTAAGAAGGATGATGGGTCTGTTGGCTCCCTGAATGGGGACCAGAAGACGGCTAGAGAATGCTACCTCTGAGACATCAAGCCCATAGTGGCCGCAGCCGGCCGATGTGAGGAGCCAATAGACCTTGACGATGTCAAGGAAGTCGAGCCTGCTCTAGCAGCAGCCGGCAAGAAGAGAAAGGTCGACCAGTTGGTGGCCGTGAAAAAAGAGAAGCAATAACAATCACTGACCGGGGAACGGTCAGATGAACTCCGTCCCCAGGCGGCTGGTGAACATGTTGATATTGCTTTGGACGACAGCCGTTCGGAGCGTACTATTAAGGTTAGGGCGGCTGCTCTTGCCAAGCTGGGTGCAGACTTGCACAATTTGTTGAAGGAATTCAAAGACATCTTTGCCTTTAAAGTGGAAGAGATTTCAGGCATCAGCCCGGATCTAGCTGTCCACAAGCTCGTCGTGGATCCCTAAAAGAAGCCGGTTACCAAAATAAAATAAACCACGGTGAGGAATGAAGTCAGGCGGTGGCCGCTGAAGTGAAAAAGCTGTTAGATGCCAGGTTCATTCGGCAATGTCCCTTCCCAGATTGGGTTGCGAATGTTGTGCTTGTAAAGAAGCCGAATAGTACCTGGCGCATGTGTGTTGATTACACTGACTTGAACAAGGCATGTCCAAAGGATAGTTATCCACTTCCAAAGATCGACAGTCTGGTCGACTCTAAAGCCGGACATGCTTTGATGAGCTTTATGGACGCCTATTAAGGCTTTCATCAAATACCCTTGTGGAAAAAAGATCAAGAGAAGACGACATTCGTCACTGATCAGGGGTTATTCTATTATATTGTGAAGTCGTTTGGCTTGAAAAATGCGCCTGCTACTTTCCAAAGAATGATTAATACAGTCTTCATTAATCAAATCGGGAGGAATGTAGAGGCGTACATTGATGACATGATAGTCAAATCCAAGCAACAGGCGGATCATCTTGCTGACCTCCGAGAAACCTTCACCACACTCAGGCGGCACAAGGTCATGCTCAATCCCAAGAAGTGTGTCTTTGGTGTTGAGTCTGGGAAGTTCTCGGAATAGGCCAACCCAGAGAAGATGCAGGTGGTCATTGACATGAAGTCACCCCGCACTGTCAAAGAAGTTCAGAAGTTAACAGGTTGTCTAGCGGCATTGGGGAGATTCCTCAGCAGCCAATCAGGTGACAAGTGCCTCTATTTTTTCCAAGCTATCAGAAAGAAGACTATGTTTGAATGGGGGGATCATGTAGAGGCAACCTTTCAGAAATTGCAGGAACATTTACACTCTTTGTCGAGGCTTGTTAGCCTTATGCCAAAGGAGACGCTTTACATGTACTTAGCCGTCTCAGACCATGCTCTTAGTGTTGTTCTCCTTGCTAAGAGAGATGGCATCCAGCTCTCGATCTATTTCATTAGCCATGTTCTTCGAAATGCTGAACTACGTTACCCAATGGTTGAAAACTTTGGCCTTACTCTTTTCATGGCAACCAAGAAGTTGAAGCCTTACTTCTTGGCACATCCGGTTGTGGTCATCTGGTAGGATGCTCAAATGGGCTATTGAAATGTAAGGTCTTGAAATCTATTTCGAACCAAGGAAGGCAGTGAAGGGTCAAGCGTTTGCCGACTTCGTTGTTGAAATGACAAGGCCGGTTGAGCCGGAGAATCTTGACCAGGTTTGGAAAGTTTATGTAGACGGGAGCTCTACTATGAACGCCTATGGTGCAGGGGTTATATGTCAGTCCCCTAAAGGGGACAAGTATGAATATGCACTACGGTTCAAGTTTCAAGCCTCAACTAACGAGGCGAAATATGAAGCCCTGCTAGCCGGTATCCGCATGAGCAAGGCGGCAGGGGTAAGAAAAATTGACGCCTGCTCTAATTCACAATTGGTCATTAGCCAGTACCATGGTGACTATGAGGCCACTCATCCGGCCATGATAAAATATT